GTCTCGAGTACTTAAGCAGAAAATGGGATTTAAAAGATGTTTGCTGTTTTTGACTTTTATGACTGTAATTAGAAATGCTGACATGCACTGATACCAACATTTTGAAGGGCTCAACTTGTAACTGCTTTCATGAATTGACATTCCTAAACCATAGTATTTGTTATATACTCAATTAAATGCTTACTCACAAACTCAATGCACTTAAAATAAAAGATAAAATAAGACTTTTCGCAATTACTTTTGTTTCTAACAACATTATGATAAGTACAATTTAAATGCCTTATTGACAGCATGATTAAAACCGCTTTTGAAGTATTTTACTTATGTTATTATATTATTGTGGAATTATTAAGTCTTTTAATTAGGTACTACCACTGCATTAATTAGTGAAAGTATTTATGAAAATATTTTAATAATGACTCCGACTCCTCCTAGTAATTTTGATAATATTAAATAAAAAGCTAAACCTTTATAACCTTTTCTTCATAAATGAAATTTCCTTTCGTGCTGTTTGAATTAAGCGCTCACGAAATCATTGCAAATTATATGAACATAACACGCGAACTTAATTTCCGTTTTGCTGTCGGTGCACTTCCGGTTAATGAAGTCGATTTTTTATGTATGTGTCGGGTAATCGTTTAACTTGACAAAAGTGCATGCATGTGAGCAAAAGGCGGTGAATGTAATTTATCACATGCCAAATGCAACAAATCAACTTGAAATGCATTCATCACTACTAATAAAATTAATAGAGTTTCATATTAAAAAATGATCTCTTTATTAATATAAAACGAAAAATTCTAAGTGATTAGAGTTATATAAAAGAATCCTTTTTCTAATTTCAATAACATCTTTTAGCGATCGAGTTTCATATACTGAATATAACCGCATTTGGATAAAATGTACTTTCGTATAACATAGAAAACGTTATATAGAAAATGTAAAAAATAGTCGATATCCAAAAAAAACTTTTAACAGATTAGCACAAACTTAAAGTAATATGTTTAAAATAATATTAACGGTAAGAAACTAAGAAAAACAATCTGCAATTAACTTAGAAACTTCAGTTGAAGTATATGCACAAAACGACAAAGTTAATAGGAACAAACAGGGTACCAGCTCCTAAGGGATCGGAGCACTGCAACCATTGTTGATCTTTTGTGTTGTAACAGACTCTAACCGAACAGAAGATATTCCGCCTTCCGAAAGAAAGCCAAAATGTCGGCTGTTGATGTGCCCTTCTTAAGGTCAGAAGGGGAGAGTAGTTTTCGACTCAGTGACCTTGCCCAAGATCAAGGCTGGCACAAATGACAAAGATTCACAAGTGGAAAATTAATATTATAGTATTTTGTGAAATTGTAAAGTCTGCACTATAAGCCAATAAGCCAACAGAAAACAAATTCAAGATACTGAAATGCAAAATATTAAGATTGTATGAAATTATGCTATATATACAAAAGTGAAAAATGCTGAGCTTATACCGAACAGAAACTTCATATTTTGTCTAATCTTAAATGAGATGTGATTGTTGAAAATATAATAAACATTAATTTCATTTATAATACTTTTGTACTTTAACTTATTAACTTATGGCTTCCAATTGCAATAAAATTAATATTATATAAATTTGTTCAAATTTGATTAGTAACTTAATTTCTATTTGAGTACCATTTGTATTCCGAAAGATATTCATCGTAAAATTAAATAATCATTTAACAATAGTTAAACTTTAATGTGGTTAATGGCAAATATTTTATGATTGGTTTTGATTATATTTTCATATATAAAATAATTTCATTAAATAATTGAAATCACAACACAATGAAGTCATTTTACTCTCTTAAAATATATTATCAGTTTTCAAATAAAACTTCTGAAATCTTACATCTCATTTAATGGGAAAATTCGAAACGAAGTCACTTGTTTAATGAGCTCCCATCTGAAATGAATTTTCGATCGCAGCACAAAATCGAATTCATAATCAAGGAGGCATTATAAATGCCAATTGTTCTAAATAAATCGCACAGGAATAAACATATATTTATATTTTGGATTCTTCAATACAAACACTGACGAAAGAAAGTTGCATTGAAATGAAAAATTAAACACCCACAACTCATAAAAATATAAAAGATCTTCCCATCAGTAATTGTACGGAGCTTGGATTAGTCAATAAATTAGCCTTTCCTGACTGCTGACAAAAAACAAAAGAAAAAATAAGATTTCTAATATATAAATTTATATTAAATTATATATATGATATTTATATACATATTTCATAAATCTAATATATCATTATTGTATATTTATAACTAAAATAATATTCAATGCATATTAGATTAACTTCGGAATATAATCACCAAGTCAAAAGACGTAAAAAGATGCATCATTTATCAAGAACAAAAAACTGAAAAAAAATTATTTTATGTCATAAGTATCTATATCTAAGATATCGAAACCTTTATAAAGTATAATTTTTTAAATGTTTGATTAAAATTTTTAATTCAGTGAATTATGTTGTGACATTTCACTTTGCCTTTCTTTCCTTTCTTTTCACTTTAAATAGTGCCTACAGTATATTTTTATTCAAAATTTCTAAAACTAGCTACTTTTTAAGAAATCATATCAAAAATAGACTACATTTTATTCTTATATAAGCTCTTGGACTTTTAATAAAATTTTTATTAATTAATTTAAATGTACGTTTAAATAAATTATAATTTTTATAATTATTATAATTTTTATAATTTTATATAGATTTATTTTGATCATTGAACTAAGATTAAATAAGTTTTATAATTATAAATCATTCAAGTTCAATCTGTATAAGATATAAAAAATAATATCGATTAGAATCTAAAATTTAAATATGTATTAAATATTTCAACTAATAAAAATTATTGCAAACTTTAATTTCAATTAAACGTAAATTATATACAGAAGAAAATTAGGGAATTATAGATAAATAAGTTTCTTTTAATCAATATTTATTAAATAAAACAATAACTGTTTACTATTGGAGAAAATGCGAAATATATTCATTTTACTTCACAGTACTTGCTATTTAAATTATTTTAAAAATTAAATTTTTAATACTTGTATCTTTAAGATACTGGTGCGGTTTTTTGGTGCAGATTTCACTTCCTCATAAATATTTTATTACACTGCATGCAGTGCATTTAAATTTTTTTTTGTAAGCTGTATTTTATGAATATCTCTTTGAAGCATTATTTTTTATTTGTTTTATATTTTATGTTCCTTTAATAATCATAAAAACGCAGACATAAAATGTATATCCTGTTTCAGACGCTCGGTTAATTTGCAGTTGATTGAACAAGGAACGCCTTTACGAGTACTTACGCAAGCTTGAAGAAATCATCATCTCAACATTTGTTTCTGTTACGTCCCTTTGGCCATCCATTAAAAATATATATTTTTTTATTTTATTTTTATATAAGCATTTGTAATATTGCATATCATTTATTTGCAATAAATTTGTTTTTTTTTTTATTAATTTGTTAATCGACTTAAATGGCGAAACAACAAGGACTTTTGTATTATGCAAAATATGCAAAAAGAGCAAAAAAATTCAATCAAATTAAAATTTTTGAATAATACTCCCTTAAGTTTTTAATCTAAAATTAAAATATTTAAAATAACAAAAATTTTAAAATTGATAAATACTAATAAGAAATAAAAAATTTATTAGACTTAAATTGAAAAAAAATTATTGAAAAGTCTTGACCAAGAGTCCCTTTATGAAAAATATTTGTAACCATATTTATTTTTAATACACATATTACGTTATATATTTTTTTATATTATATACAAAGCGAAACATTGACGAAAAATATATTTATTGATTGGCTGGTTATAGTTCTTCGTCCATCAATTATGTACAAAGCGTGCAGCTTCTTCACCGCTTTCAGTAACGCAACCATGTTATAGCACTAAATATATGAGTGAATTGCAAACATTTCATTTTCCTCACTACTGCACTGATCTACGCCATACTTAGGCCCCTTCTCCTACAATCTTGAAAGACCTTTTCGTTATGTATTTAAGACAAAGTGATTTTTGGGATCTATTTTCTTTCATTCTTAGTTGACTAGTATACGTATACGTTATCAGCCAACGTACCCAATGTGAGCAAATTTCTCATCATCTTTGCTATATCAATACCTGAGTAATGCATTCTTTACTTGTTAACCGTAAGAAACTGTGCCTTTTTGAGACTGAAATGTCTTCTTTCACTATGTAATTATCGATTGAACAAATATCTTAATATCTTAAACAAATATCTTCAACCCATTATAGGTATTGGGAAGTTTTATATATTGTTGAAAGTATTCATTCATTCATATTTTAGTATAAATGAATGAGTAATCTCATAGTAGTAATCATATTTTTTATTGTATTTATTTACTTCTGAGGACAAAATAATTTATTTATTTAATAAATTATTATAATAAATTAATATTTTTTATTAATAAAATTTATTAACTCTCAAAAAATACCAAATCTTCATAAAAATGTAAGAGATTATTTAGCGATTTATTAGTGCAAAACTAAGTAATGCAACAACGCAACTGGCAGAGCAGACTTCGTAATGTTAAGCTCAGCATCCAAGCAAGAAAATCATTTCAATTATTTTTTATGGATTTTACCTTGGAAAATACACCAGCAGCTACAGAAATTATTAGCAGATAAAAGGCAAAAACAGTTCCAAACTATTTACTCACGTACTGTAATTTAATAGTTTCGCTGAAGTTTCTGCAAGGAATGAACTTTACGGATTGAAATATTTTCAACTGCATTATTTTTATTTACTTTTAGTTTAAAATTTCTTGTCATTTTTTTATTTATTTTTTTACTTTTTTGATAATTGAAACACAAAGTTGAGTGCCAAGGACATGAAAATTACTCGGTGGAAATCAGGTAACAGTTTTAAAGTACGAGATCAACGAAATCAACGCTTAAGATACACAACATACGAGTACTTACCGTTCATCCAAACGCATGCTGCTACGGCTGATGTCGCTCCAAACGGACATGGAACGTGGCCGGTGAAAGAACGACTTTGAACTGCGACGTGATTGCGGCAACTGTTGCGGCGGATATCCTGCCGCATCGTTAATCTCTGTATGAAAGTTGACATTGCGCGCCGCTCGACTGGACGATGCCACCGATGGCAGAGAGTAGTTGGTCTGATTATCGTCGGACATTCCAAGTGCAGTATAACTCACTTGGAAGTTATGGCTCATTTCGCACGACTGCGATAATAACTTTTTAAATATCACGCTTTGATTTTATACACTTTTTTATATTTCTTTTTATTTTTTTTGTATTTGAATTTTATTTACAATTAAAATTTTAAGTATTTTCTGGCAATATTGTTTGCATTTTAAGATACATCACTACAATTCCTATGGTTTTAAGTGCCATTTTGTTCAACGATTGATGATAATAAATGCAGGCTTCAGTTTTAACTTCATTTTTATTAGCATTTTTAATTTATATTTCTTTTATATTCACTTTTCCAATAAAAATACATGCTGTTTTGATTTATATTTTAATTTTTTTTTTTTTTTTTGCTCAAAATCTTTATTCTCGTAGGATTTCATTTAGTTATAGTATGTATATTTTTTTATAAAGTTGCTTTGAATATATAAAATAAAATTAAATTAATTTGATTTTCTTTTAAGACGATTGCTCTATATGCTAGCGTCATCAGCGTTTGAATGCAATGAATGAACGATATCAAGAAAATGACACCAAAAGTCTACTCAACCCAGTTTATATATGTGGACTCAAAGACAACTATAAATTTCATTCAGAACACAAGAATCATATACATGCGCAACAACAACTGAATAAAAAACTTATGGAATTATCAATAGTTCGCATATTGTGAGAGATTGCTCACGAACTCTTGTTATTAAAATGATGAATGAAACTCAATATTATAATATATAGTCAAGCATAAAATGCATGTATAAATGACAAGTAAAAATAAGTATAATAATAGTTATATTCTAAACAAATCCACACAGTTATTTGTCTTCATTGATTAACATTTGTTAAGGAAATGAAAATCAGAAGATATTCAAATTTGCATAAATATGCCAAAGTCTGATATTATTTTAGTATGCCTTCTGAATGTACTATAAAAGGAATAATAACCAAGTAAAAACGAGACTCAGAATTATGTTAGTATACAATACCTATAATTTATAGTGGACGAAACACCCACTAAAGTCAAAGCTAAAAAACGGATGTATCTCACATAAGCTTAAGCACATAAATAAAAAAAATTTATAAAAAATCTCATTGTATCACAATTCTGGTTGAACTTACATTGTAATGCCTTAACATATCCATCAATTTTTAAATTAAAAGAAGTTAATGTTTGTTTTTTTGAAAAGGATTTTGTGAATAAAATAAAAACTTGTAATTCAGTTTTTATTTTTATATAATCCTCTATATAATTTCACCAATGTTTAGTAGTTTGTTACACTTCTTCCTCAGGACGAACCCCAATGAAGAAATCAAACAAACTTTAAAACATCGACGATATTTATATAAACAATTATATAAAAATAAAAATAAAAACTTATTTACAAGCTTAAATTTTATTAAGATAATCTTTTTCAAAAAATGAAAACATTACTCACAACTACTCTGAATTAATATTTGCTATAATTCTCGCTTTAATAAATAAGTAAAGTTCAGTGATATGAGAAATCTGCTTAGACTTTTCATCCTCTGACGTCACCGTGGAAATTTCGGAATATCTGTGACTTATTTTGTAATGACACAGATGATGCTCTATTTATACAATCAAACAGAAAGGACCTTACGAAACTGATTGCAGTTATCACAAGGCACGTCACGGGCAAAAAACTTTGGTTTAAATGTGCCTTCCTTCCATACTTCCTTAGAATTGCTAGTAAACGAATAGTTTTTGAATGAATGAATACTTTAACTTAAATAAGAAGTTAACAATCTTGTAAAAATCTGCAGCAAATAACATAAGCTAGATAAACAAATAAGAATTGACAAAATAAAATATTAATAACCAATCCTTCTAATATTCGGTAATATTCGGCTTTAGATATGCAAATCGTAATAAAAGCAGTAAAATGCAAAAGTAAAAAAGCACAGAAGCAGAAAAATTTGGATAGATCTATCAGATAAGGTATACTATCACTACATTTATTGAAAGAGTGACAGAAAAAATTAGAAGCCGAGAGAATTTTCATATATGATTATATTGTATATTACAATCTATTCATTGTCGCCTATTTAAGGAACAATTTTTACTACCTTAATATTTTGGATTCATTCTTCAACCTCAATCATTTTTTCTTGATTTGCAGATGAAAACAGTTTTACATTATCTTTCGCTGATTCCTCTAAGTAATTAAATTTACAATAATTATTTTCATAGGCATTTTTGGAGCTAAATGTGGCGTTAATGGGTTAGAACGGATAAAGATAATATAAACTTTCACTCGTGTTTATAAAAATTTGTACTTCTTTCAAAGGAAAATAAAAATAAATGCTCTGTTAAGAAATTTTCTGTCTTAACATCTAACTGAAATAAATTATTTTTTAGTTGGAAAGAAGAAAACAAACGCCAAAACTTTTACTAATAATAAAGTTTCATGTATTCATTTTACTTCACTTTTAAAATTAATCTCTAAAATCAGCAACGATGCAGTTTTCATGGCCAAGGTGTTTTCTTGATGATGTGAGCATTTATCACTTGCTGTAATTCGAGCTGAACACAGATTACTTCACATCCTGAAAAAGTTATTTTCATGAGAAAATGTTGATTTTATACTTTTCACTTACAAAAAATTTCATGTACTGAAATTTAAGGTAAAGTGTATTAGAAATAAAAAAAGGAAAGAAATTCATGACATTAGTTTTTTGCAAAAGCGTTTTATTAGGAAAAAAATAGTATCCACAACCAAAAATATAAAAAAAATTTAATCTGTATAAATCAAGTGTTAATTGCAATGAGCACTTGCTCGCAAGTACCTGTTAAAGAAAAGGTAATCAATTCGTGAAGGACACTAAAGAAAAGCTCCCAGCTGTTAACAATGTTCTGCCATAATGCTTAAAACCAGATTATAACACTATTTTATTATCTCTTTAGAGAGATATGAAAAAGCCCATCACCAGGAAATCTGATCTCTGTCAGTCAGAGTTACTCTAATTAAAGAGTTACACTCATATACATTAATAATATTAACAGAAGTCTGTGCTACTATACAACTAAAAACATGGATTATCACCAAAGAAAATCAACTGGATTAACAGTATTTCGTGAGCTTGCCTCAAGGCTTGGTATGCCGCACAAGATGGAAACTCGAAAAACAAAAGCAACAGCGAACCATTTTGTACATTTCGTTTGCAATTTTGCCACCAACAACATAACCTTCAAATTAGAGCAACTGAACACCTTGGGGCAGATGGGGGATAGGCAGTTCGAGAGTAGACAATTCGAACATAGTATTTTTTCCTGTCCCATAAAAATATACTACTATATTTTTTACACATTGGAAGAAACCTAGACGAAATAATCTCGGAAAAGGGCTAACGTAACGGTTTAGAAAAAATAGTAAATGTTATCAACATCTTTACTGATAGTTCAAAGATGACTGTTAAACTGGACACAACAGTTTTCTGTCGAATTAGAAATAAACTTTTAATTCTCAGCAGCCTTTTTTAAACGGAGATGTTAGTGATGAGGAAGGTGCTAAAATTAGTAAAGACTCCCAAAAAACACATTAATAAATTAACACTATTGATATATCATCATTATTATTATTATCAAAATGCATTGTAGAGCACAGGAATATGATAAGTGGCCTAAGGGTGATAGAAAAAGTACATATCTACTGTCATCTAAGTAAGAATTTACATTAGAAGTTTTACTTGCCATAGACATTTCGCTTACATTATAAACTGCAACACAAATTCAGGAACAACACATGTTTAGACAAATGAATGGAGTGTGGAAGATCCTACAATGAAAAATCTGTAAGCTTACAGAGCAGTGTTCTTTGCAGCCACATGATTCAAAAATGGGATTGGTCATATGTTAAAAACTAGAAAGAACGACCTCAAGGGAAAAAGTTGAGAATGTTATTAACCAATGTTCAGCATTGATGCGACTAATGCAAAAATACTTATGTGATCCATGACCTAGAGTTAGACGTCAACATTGTATGGAAAATGTTTACAAACTGCTACAATTTATTAAGAACGTACCAATTTTCCTGTAACAAGCAATGTCGCTATAGTGTATAGCGTTTTTCCCCTGGAGCCTACTTGAGCCAACCAGTCAGAATTAATCTAATCTAACAGTATTTTGTTAATAGATATCTATGACACAATTTGGTAATATGATAATAAACCAGAACAGTAGAGAACAGTTGGTGTAAATGAATCCAGATAAGTTTAAGAAGGTTAGATAGGTTACACACTATACACGTCATAAGTCAATATTACCCATAAATCACTAATATTATATAGATTTCTTATACTACTCGGTGACTAGATCAACGTCAGGAGTAAGATAAGAAACAACAGCACATAATAAAACTAAAAAAGAAACTTTTAAATTCTGATCAAAAAATTGGTTAAATTATAATAGTTTATATGCAGAATAAATACAATAACTCATAAACTTTGAACAGTCATCGCTTTTTATATGACATACTATATGATATTCTTCTTACTTGTCGTACAGGTGCCTATAGGTGAATTGTTTAAGATTAACTTAGAAACAAATTTAAGATGAGATCACGCATTTTATATACTAAAGCGTTACATTTTAACCAAATCAGAAATAATCGAAGTTTTTTAATAAGAAATTTAAAAAGCAATGAAACTTAAAACATTTTTGTGATATTCTATTTATTTTGGTATATTATAAAAAGTGATGAATGGTTTCACTCTCACTTGTAAAAGTGCTCATAATACATAATAAAAAATAGTTTATTTTTCTTCTTAAAGAAAAATATGATAAACGATCTCTACGTTAAGCGTATAAGAATTTCACAAGCTGTTTTTCATAAGTATATCAAATTTTTTATATAAGAATATAGTGCACGAAATGTCATTCATCAAAAATAATATTTAATAATTTTATTGTAAAATATGCACCACACTATCTAATAGAATTTGAACGCTTTTACTCCCATATCCACAAACTATGAAACTCAGTCATTTTACTTAAATAAAGATGATGCACTGTGGTCAATATGACGAT